GGAAAGAGCAGATTTTTTTCCCCATTTTTCTTTCCCGAGGGAAAAACTGCATATTCAGAAGCTCACAACACTGGACACTTATCACGTAGTCCGAAAAAGGAGCTTCATTGTCTGGAGGCACAGACCACCTCATGGAGATGGTCAATCCAGCAGCGTCACGTTGGCACACACTCTTAGAGAGGCCCAAGAGTAATGCCATGTCCACTTCTCATTTTTCTGATGTCACTTCTATCCCTGCCCCTCTAAAGGCCCTGAAGACCAGAAGTACCATGCTGCTTCGTAAGGGTTCATCACATGGGCTCAGTAAGCATGGTGGGTAACGACACAAGAATTCAACACAGTATGTCACCGCACATTCAATGAATCCACAAGAATACAAAATGAAATGGAAGAAACAAAACTAAGTGTAAACAAGGCTTCACGAATGTTCTCATAAAAACCGTAAACCCTTAATTCTCCATCTTGAGGCCTGAAACCAGTATAGAAAGCACATAATTGATGGACATTTATACTAGCTATAAGAATGAAGCATTACACAGTATGTCAAATATTTTCGATAAAAAAAAAATAATGAAGAATAAAGGAGAAAAGAATCCGGATTCTAATCCACTTAATGAGTTTGTCACAGGACAGTCATGTGACAGAACTCTGATTTCTACAGGCGCTATACTAAAATATACCAGGTGTTTAGTTACCAAAAATAAAAGACGACATTATACGGAACTCTCCCCACGTACATTAGCAGGAAACACAGCAGATTTTGTAGATTCTAGATGTTACTCAGAATACTACATACCTTTTAGGAATCTATTCCTGGGTGAAAAGTTCATGTGCAATTTAAACATTAATTAAAACATGATCACATATGTGTGTGTATGTATGTAAAAAGTGAATTCGTATATGTAAAAATGAACATGATTACATATGTGTACATATGTGTATATATGTGTAAAAAATGAATATATATGTAAGAAATAAATTTACATATATATAAAAAATGAATTTGATCACTATTGGTAGTGATCACTTCATTTTTTCAAACAAATGCTGCGGGGGCCAACCTCGCACCAGGCACCTCCACGAGGCCTACATCCCAGTGGAGACAGATAGAGAACCATTCACAAATTTGACAAGTCTGACAAAGTACCTTTCCCGGTGCCGGGCACTGCTCTGGGTGCCAAGGATACAGCAGTGTATACACTCAAAAAGTGATTAGTGCTAGTAAAAAACGTATAGTGTGAAAATGCTGATTATGAGAGAGCACAGCTCGTTTGCCAGCAGGGTGGATACGGGACGCCTACTGGAGGAGGCGACATCTGAGCAGAGACCTGAGAAAAGGGAGCGAGCTTCTCTAGCAGTTTCTCTGTGTGCGTGTAGTGGTTGAGAGGTCTAATATTAGCCTCGAGGTTTCAGGATAGAAGCCTGCCTTCAACAGAGCAGATTAACGTTCGAATTAGATCACACAAAGATCCTGCTTAATGAAAGCTCTTCATCTTACACAGGCAGAAAAAGTTATTAAATCCTTCCCAAAATAATTTAATGTCTTAGATTCCAATTAACATAATCATTCCCAGATAATGACTATTAGAGTACCCACCCAGAAAATCAAAATAAAATATTACAAAGATATTCACAATCAGAATATAGACTCTAAGAATATATTCCTAAAGTTCAAAAAAAAACTGACTGCATAAAATGGGGTGACAGAAAAACTTGTGAACAATGGTTAATTTTCCTGAGCAAAATTGTGCCTGTTAATAAAATTTTTTGAAAACTTGATTCCCAATTTGTGAACATATTTAATGAAGTTTTCTATTAACGCTTGCCATGTTTTGACTCGTCAGTCATTCATTCATTTGTTTATTATTTCCAAGACAAGTTTAAAACAAACAAGACTCCTTTTCTACGATAGTAAAAAAAAAAAAAGTTCAACTGGCTAGACCAGAACTCTCTAAAAAGATTCCCTCAGGCACCTTGCTAGATGACAACGTGAGGGAAGCCACAGCTAGAGTTTTAAATCCGCACACAATTATAAAAGCAGCTCTCCTCTGTGCGCTGCTGCCTCGCCAGGTAAGTCCTGGTTTCATATCTGACCCAAAGTAGATCATTCAAACAACAGAGAATTTACCGACGAGTTAGAAAAGAAAAAGAGTTTGGCATCACTCAAATCAGCAAACTCATGCAATTTCCTTAAATGTTCCTGGCAAATTCAGTGACATCTACGAAGACCTGCCCCTGAGCATCCTTGAAGGATTTACACGACTCTGGGCACTGTCCAAACAGCCTGAAGCACAGGCAAGAGGTACGGGCCCAAAGCGTGGTGGCTACAACGTGATTCCTAGTCTACTGTTTTTCCTACATCATCCCCACATATACTTTATCTCGGAGAGAGAATAGTTGGAGGCAGAGATGAAAGAAAACAACTGGATGGGGCAGGTAAAATGTTGCCTCCTTGAAAGATGTTAAGCAAAGGGTCTGGGCCGTCAGTGTTTATTATGTATTAATTTCTGCCACTAACGGTTTCACAAAGCATTTGGCTCCCACAGGCTATGGAGAAAACATGAGAAGGGGAACCAGAATTCTGACTTTATAAAATTTGAAGGCTTGACTATCCCACAATGAAAGGTAGTCTTTCTCTGTGTGTATGTATACGTGTGTGCGTGTGTGTAAGATACAGTGAGAATACTGCAGTCACCATGAGTCTTGCCTACTTACTTATTAAGAATAATGCTTTGGCTCACACAAAGTTCAAGAGAAAGTCAATGGGAAGAGGAGATCAGCAGAGAATGACAACCAGAGTACAGCAAGCTTAATTGTCCTGTATATTTTAAAACCAACTCAGTTCTGACTTTATGATAATCTCCATGGTTTAGATGAGCTCCACTCAAGAACTGGTGTCTCAGGCACTAAATTCACTTTTGAGTTACTAAAGCAAAAAATGCTGTTAGGTAGGTAGCACAAATGAATGAATTAATCAAGTCATTCAAAACAGTGTAATCAAAATATATATTAACATGTTGCATTTTCATTCTCTTTTGTTATCCCAGTACACACAAGAATAGAAAAAAATGTTTTGGGGAAAAGATCATCACAAGATCGCAGGACACAACAGGCACTTTAAAACCATTCCATATTGCATATTGGTTAAGAGTGAGGGCTGTGAGACTCCTTAGAGTCTGGAACAGAAAAATTAACAAGGTTATCCTGGAACATCTTGTCATATCTGGAAAAGAAGAAAGCCATCAAAGGCCAGCACAATCTTGATCTTATCTGAAGAACCCAGGAATCATCATGAAAGAACTATCTCTGGTCAACCACAGAAAATTCTAAGCATTTCTCCTACCTTTCCTGTACAACCTGTATCCGAGCTTACCCAAACAGTTGATGCTTCATAGGTAAAATGTTTCTTTATAGAAGAGTTTTAGCTAATTAAGAAGGAACGAAAGACATGCAATACCACCAATCTGCCATCCATATTGAAATAACAGATTCAGGATATGATCATCAATGGTTACTAAAACCAAAAAGTCATAACCTGATGGGGATGGAGTTCTATAATGGATGACCCAGAGTGGCAACGCCACTGATCAATATAAATATCATAAAAAGGAAAAGAACCAAAGTGCTTCCTCATGCACTATAATAGGAAGTGCATACAACCATCTACGAAGTACTTTTTCCCCAGAAGCTGAACTTGAGTCTGATCTCATAAAGGGAACAAAATAACAACATTAGAGAGAGGCTCCTTTTACACTTACTCCCTAGATGATATCATCCAGTCTCATGGCTTGAAATCTCTGAACATGCTCTTAATTCCCAAAATTAAATGCCTATCCTCACCCTTCCCTTGAATTCCAGAGTCATATCCAATTCCCTTCCATACATCTTCATTTGTTTGTCAGCTGACAAACAAGAGAACCGTTGGTCCTCCCCAGGACCGACTCCTCTCCCAGCATGCCCTCTCTCAGCCGACGGCACCAAACGGTGGCATCGCCCTTGACTCTCCCTCTCATCCCCACATCCAATCCATCAGATGAGCCCACTGGCCCTTCTTCCTGCCATTTCTATTGTTACTACGAATCCAAGCAACCCAGACCTCCTTGCTGACCTATATAATAACTGATCTGGTTTCCGTTTTGGACTGAAGCAGCTAGAATGATCCTTTTAAAACATAAATCAGATCATGCCTTTCTCCCAACAGCTTCCCAACACCCTTCCATCACCATACCATGAGGCCCTGTCAAATCTGGCCCATACCTATTTTTCCATTCTCATTTTCTACAACTTCATCCTTTGAAAATTACACTCTAATCCTAAAGATTTTCTTGCTTTTCTTCCTAGAACACTAAAACCTTCCATCTTGAGCTTTTCACATTTTCTATTCCCTCTACCTGGAAAACTCTTTGCCCTGTTCACAGGGCTCACTCTCTTCATTCAGGTCTCTGCTCAAATACCCTCCTCTCAGAGAGGCCTTCCCTGATCACATTACTTAAAACAGCCCCGCTTCGTGGCCATTACTCTATCTTCCTACCCCGCTTTATCTTTCCTCACTGTACGTATCGCTATCTGCAAATACATTACATACTCATTTACTCTCTGTCTCCCAAATAGAATTCAGGTTTCATGGGAAGAGAAGCTGTTTATTTTATTAACTGCTGTATTCCAAGAGTTGAGAACAGCATTTATTAGCCACTCAAATCTATACTGAATAAATGAATGAATACACTAATCAGTTAGGAAATGACTTACTCAGAGTCAATCTTCCTTGATAGGCTGTAAACTCCATGGAGTGGCCATGGTTATGCCTGGTACAGTGCACACTCAAGTCTCATTTGAATAAATAAAAAACCAGAGAGGGCACACTGCATAGAACATTTCCACATATCAATCTATCTATCTCTCCAGACCTAGTCCAAATGGCCTGCATCGTCTATAACCCAGAATCCACTGC